AGAGGATCAGGGTCACCAGCTGACCCCTTTGTTTCCAAGATTGGGTCAGGTCAGACTCAGGGCAAAGGGCACAGGAGGGGGTGGGGTCATCAGGAAGGAGGGTGGGTCCCACCTCTGGGTCTCTGTTTGCCAGTGCTGTGTGTCCTGGGGCACCTCCGTGGGGATCCCTGCCTCGTCCAAACCCAAGTCCGACCCCTGTCCACTTGAGATGCCGTCAGCCACCTGCTGGAGCCAGGGTGGAAAAGGTCTTAGGGCGGCCACATCCCAGACGGGCCCTTCTGTGGAGCATCCACGCCCCTCCACTGAGGGCAAGACCCTCTGCTCCTATGTGATTGAGGTCAACCAACAAAGGCCAGCCTGCAGAAGCCCAGGGACCCCCACTCAGCAGACACCCCTCCCCACAGTGGACTCCAACACCCAGTCTCACACAGAGGCCACATGGAGGACAGACACACAGCAGAGTCCTCCCACCTCGGGAAGGGCTGGCCACCCACTGTGGCTTCCCACATCAGAAATGACCCCCCCGGCAAGGCCTTCCACGGAGGACCGCACCTGATTTCTGCTCAGTGTGAGGTCCTGTGGTGCCTGAACGGGGCCTCACGTAATGGTCCAGCCCCAGCCACACAGCAGGCCCCAGCAACCAAAGCCAGCCCCTGCCCCTGCCCCCTGCTGAGCCTGACTCACATTTGCCTCCTGGGGCTCGGGGGGCCCATCTCCACCGGGGGATCGGGATCGCTGGTTCTGTGCATGGCTCTCGGTCTGAGGCCATCTCTCCTCTGCTGACTCAGGACTGGGCACGGTCTGGGGGTCCCCTGAGGGCAGAGGGGCAGTCAGTGTAGACAGGACTTCTGAATCTGGGGTGGGGGTGGGGTCTCAACACTCGGAGAGGGTGCTTCCTCGAGGCCCGGGGATCGTCCAGTGGCGTCCACGCACGATGGCTGGGGGAGCACTCACGGTGACTTGGAGATAAACGGCCAGGCCTTTCTTCTGAGGCACTCTGGCTGGGCCAGCCTCTTGACCAGCAGCGGGCCGCGCAACCATGTGCACCACAGCGAGGACCAAAGACCCACTGGGATGCCCCCACCCCCACCCCCACCCCAGGAGACATGGCGGCATCCTGCTTCCGCTCGGAGCAGCTCTTGCTTCTGGGGGGGAAACGCCCCACGTGATGTGACCAGAGTGTGATCCCTCCCCCTGGTGCCCTCCCTGTCCAGGACCACAGGGGGAGGTGAGAGGCACCCAGGCAGAGGGGGCATGGGAGGCCAGGAGGGAAGTGGACTGTGGACACAGCGGGGTGGCCAGCACGTGGGCACTGCTGCGTTCGTGGGGACCTCCTACCTGCTCACTATCTTTCCAGACTCCACCCACCCCAGGACCTGGCTGGGCTCGGGGGTCTGCACTTG